ATATTCACGCTGCGGTTGTATGGAGAAAACTTATCCACCCACCGCAACCCACTAAGTTGTTGTCTAATGCCTGCAGACAGACATTTTCATTTCGGCTTGAGACTACCCAAAGTTGCGAATTTCCTCATTACTCGAAGTTGGGGGAAAATATCACATTCAGGGCTGTAAGTTCGACAGGTAAAATGGCATATAATTTACCATTTAAGAGGGGCTTTAATTATAATGGGAATGGGGCAAGGCAAGGTCTGATTTAAATGGAAACCAATCGGTTGCAATGATATCCAATCAACACAATAATCTAATCTACTCCACATTTAATATTTACTACAAATTTCTAGATAATATTTCACATTTTTGTTAAAAATTTTGTGGCTTACTTAAAAAAGCATGGTTAATGGATCAATTTCATGGATTTGCATTGTTTCTTCAAAATTTAGCTGAATATTATATTTGTAGAGTAAACTGTATAGTTGTTATAATGTTTTCCGATTTATTTACTTATTTATTTAACCGCTTGGAACCGTAACCAACTTGCTGGAATATTTTAAAGCCAAATCGAAATAGTTTCCCTTGTCCTCTAAGAAGTGCGAAAATTCCAAACTTGTCCATAGTTTATGAAGTGTTTTATTCGGGCCATGAACCATAACTGGCCAACTTGTTGTCAACGAAGAGAGGAGGGTGGGGATTTTTAGAGGTTTTAGGGGTTCCACGGGATCAGCGGAGACAACGTGCTCAAGACATTAGCGGGGATTCCCCTGTCGATGCCCCCCCCCCATAATGCTCTTTCCCGCCAACAGAGGGCGTTTCTGTGACGGCATTCGCCATTTCCGCTTCCGCTGCACGTACATGGCACTTGGCCTAACTACTTGCTACACAGATAGACCTTTGAGGTCACGCCCACACACACCGTGAGAAAAACCTGGAGTCAGTTCAATATTATCTTAAATATCGGAGCTTTGTGTTTCACTAATGTGTATAGTTGGAGTAAGAATAAAATCAAAGGAGAAAATATAATGATAATGTAATATAAGTAACTGGATTGTATTAGATCGTATTTTACAGGACTGCTAATTTTCTTAGATTTTTTTCTGTGGATAGAAAAAAACCGTCTAAAAGTGTGTGCAACATTTTTGTGTTGTTATTGTAGGTGGTGTAGTTTTTCGTTGTTGTTGTCAGCTCGTTTTTGGCCTGGCGCTTATTGTAGTTAAGTTTTATGCCGCCATTTTCTTCCGCTTTGCGTGTTGCACGTACTTTGCCCCTTAGTTCGTATGTGTGTGTGTGTTGCCTGTGTTTTTTTCCAGCTTTTGCCACTTCCTTGATGTCTGCACCACCCCTCTTCACCCTCTTTAACCACTCCATAACCACCCCCCCCCCCCATTTCGCTCTCTCTTGCACTTAATTCCATTTTCACTTTCTTTAATGATGCTCAATTTTTTGCATCATTAATCTTTAGCGATTTTCAGCTTTGCCGCTGACTGACACGGCGTCTCAACGGGGTTTTCCCTGCACTTGCCCATTTTTCACACCCATTTTCCACCCACCAGCCGCCCCCTTTTTACGGGATGTCTCAGCTGTTGGCCCTAATAAGTATGCTACAAAATTTGTAATTACAATTTCAAGATAATTTGCTGTGAGTGCTGCGAAAATCTTCCAAAATTCTGCCATCAGAGGTTTTTTCTGAGGGTGGTTTTATGTTTTATTAGCCACTTGAAGAAGTCATTCGACTTCGAACTTTTCAACTTCATAATATTTTAATGCATTCTGGAGATGGAAACAAGCTTTATCAGTTTCAAAAAAAAAGTGCCATGACATATTTAAAAAGAAGAATAAAAAGAGAAGTTAAATATATGGATAATAGTATTCAATGGCTTAAATTCAAATGCATTTTATTTACTTAACACCTGCTAGAAAGACTATTAACTCGCCGCCATAAATCAATTGCTGCAAAATGCTGTGTTAAATTTTATGGAATTACCTTCACTTGCCACTTTCGATAAATCAATCGCTTAGGAATATGGCAATTTTATTGAATTTTAAGCTGTTGGTATTTGTGTCAACTCATTCGAACGGGGTGAAAAATGAAGCCTAGGCGGAGGTCCTTGATTGATGAACCCATCGATTATTAAATGCCGCACTTTGAACTCCTCGCTGGCGATTTTGATGCGGTCATGGCTCGATGGACTGGAGTGCTGGCCGAAATTGATTTGATTGCCCCCCCCGTCTTGGTTTGGTACTGTTCGTATCCGGGGATTTCGGGGGCTACAGGGCCCCCATATCCCACAACCCCCTGCCAGATCCCTAGAACTTGCATTGTTGATGCTGTTTTCTTTTTATTTTATACAATATTTCCACTTCGCTCTCGTGCTGCTCGGCTGCTCTTTTTTGGCTCGACCGTTTTCTTTTAACAACTTTTTGCTGCTGTTTTTATTTGAAGTTTGCAATAAAATAAAAGCCACATGGAGAGCTGGGGGATTAGTGGGGCGTAAAAGGGGGCATGGTCGGAGCAGGGAGCCAGGAGCCAGGAGCAGAGAGCTTGGCCCGAATGGCCACGGCCCTCGGCCACAGACACGGACATGGAACGCGCAACTATAAAGCAAAAAACCTCATTCATATAATTTATGTGTGGCTCCCCAGGGATGGAAACGTGACACGTGCAGCGTGACTGGCGATGGGCTGCGTTAAGGTCACCACAAAAATCCAATAAAAATTCCAAGCAAGTTTTCCTATATATATGTTCACGCGCTCATTTTTTGCGAAATGGATTTGAATTCTAAAACGACCCTTTCAAAAAATCTTCACTAGCAATTTTTAAATAACTTATTTGACAGTTCCTTAAAATAGTTATACGATAACTTCGATAATTCGAAAGATTACACAATAATGGTACTTTATTTTAAAATTTAAATGCAACATTTAATTTCTACTCCTACAAAACAAACAAAAGTATCTGAGCAAACAGTCTTACGTTTTCGAAAGCGAATTCTTTAGTTTTTTAATACGCATTTTTATTTTCGAAATGTTCAAAAAATCTTTGCTAACAATGTTTTATTCAATTCCTTAAAATAGGTATACGATAACTTCGATAATTCGAAGGATTACACAATAAAAGTACTTTTTTTTACGTTTTAAATACAACATTTAATTTCTACACCTACAGAGCAAACAAAAGTATCTGAACAAATAGTTGCACATTCATAAAAGCGAATTCTTTAGTTCCTCATTTTAGTTTTCGATAACTAAGTGATTAATTCGATAGTTCTTTTTATTGATAATACTCGTGCCAGGTCCACCCCTAGGTCATTCGCAGTCCGAGCCAAAACGGCTCCTGCTTTTACTTCTGCTGGTTGCATTTTATTTTACCATTTCGTTTCGTCCACGCTTGAATTTATGAATTTCGACTCGTTGCCATTCCTTGCCCCGCCACGCCACGCCCTTTCCTTTGGCCCGCCCCCGCCATGTGGCGCATCCATTGTTGGCCCCGCACATATGCGGTTTTATATATTGACACTTAAAATTTATGGGACTTAAAAATCTACAAAACGCTACCACGTTTTGTCCTGCAAAGTTGGTTTAGAGCTCTGGGTTTCAGTTTCAGCGGGATGACGAAAAAAGGAGGGGGTGATGGGGTTTCAGGGTTGCCGCGGCCGTGCCTCTGACAAAAGCTTGGCACGCCTTTTGTCCAAAAAAAAAAAGGGTGGGGGGAGGAAAAACAGCAGTCAAGGCTGCGAGAAGTCAGTTGACAGGAGTGTGGAAAGTGCAGAAACTAAGCAGCAAATCGTGTGTGAAATTAACAGGCTTGCCGCAGCCAGGGTTGTCACCCCGCGGCTAGTGGTCTCCAAAAAAAACTAGACCCACCAATTGAAATCATTTGAGACCAAGAGTGTCAAAATATAAATGGTTGCCACACCGGTTTAAATCCTTCTTCTTCAGAGAGAAATATTCAAGTACATTGTTCTTGATTTGAGAACATTCGTTCTTAAAAACCGTGTAAACCTTTTGGTGTCAATTATCTCAATATTAAAACACTTCTGACTGGACTAATAGTTTAGTTGTTGAGATATACAATGTAAATACCACCAATTCATCTTGATTTTAGCACAATGAAAACATTTTCATCTTCAAAAATTTCGTTCTCTGTTTAAGAACATTTTGAACTCAGATTTCAACGTCAAAATTCTCCCTGTGTAAGATATACAATGCGTCAACTAATTGTTTTAACTTTAAGCTGAAGAATTATAGCCATGAAATGTCTTTTCTTCGTCTCTGCATTGTGTGCTTATTAATTATCCCTTATCCATTTCTTAAACTAAATCTGACCGGAAATCTAGCCAACTGGGCTGCCAACTCATTTTTAATGCAAGCTTCTTTTGGAGCTAAGTTCCTCTCTCCCATTTTCGTTTTCTGTTTTTCTTTCTTTTTCTTCCTTCTTGCGCTGCTAATTAAATATAACTTAAAGTCTATCAAAAACAAATTAATCATTTAACAGCCGCAAATTGCCAGAAGTGCGGCTGCCAGAAGTGGTTACTTGGGTGGCAACTTTGGGTTGCCTTGGCGGTCCAACTTGACGCACCAAAAGAAGAAGAAGCAGAAGAAGAAGCCAAGCCAAAAAGCTGAAGGCACTTTCTATTTCATTTTCATTGCTGATTTCATTCAGTTAATCAGCTTATTGAACTTGAGGTTCACTGCCTGGCTGTGGGCCAATCTCCTGGAAAAGCCGGGCTGGGAAAACGAAAAGTTGGCAATTGGGGATTTGGTTTTTAAGCAGTTGCAGCTGCCACTGTTTGGCCAAAAGCAAGAGAACTGAAATCAAATTCAATTTGCCAGAGAGAGCGAGTGAGATGCGATGTGGCAGCTGCGGCAGCTGTGGCAACTCTGGCTGGCCCTGGCCCTGGCCAAAGTTCAATTAATTACACAATGATCCGGAGTCGGCTTTATTTTTTTCGACCCTATAATAATTGTTATAAATTGTGATTGCCAGTCGCTGGGCGATTATCACTCACCTGAGTTGGCTGTGTGGACAGCAGGTCGATTTGCTCCTCGTGTTGCTGCTGATGGCCAAGTGTTGCTGTGGGTGTCAGGTGTGGCTGCTGCTGCTGCTGTTGTTGCTGCTGCTGCTGTTGCTGCTGGAACTGCTGCTGGTAGTGCTGCTGCTGCTGGTATTCATATTGCTGTTGCATTTGATATTGCAATTGCTGGTACTTCAAGTGATGCTGTGGTTGTTGCTGCTGTTGTTGCTGCTGCTGCTGTTGCTGCTGCTGTTGTCCATGCACCATGCAGCAGCAATAGAGAACGATTGCCAGCAATTGGATCGTATTGGCAACACTGCGTGCTGTTTTATTTATTGCTGACGACGGCATGTTGCCCCGTCTATATAGTGGCGGATATATATCTATATATATGTATGTATGTCTTCGTATATATCCGTTTCCGTATTCGTATCTTCACACTTTACGTATGTGTGCCAAGTGTATGCAACTGCCAAGTATGCAACACTTTGCTTGCCACTGTGTTTTCCTGTCTCTGGTTTCTGGTTTCGGGCTTTCGTCTCTTTTCTCTCCTCCAACCAGTTGCAAGTTTTTTGGTCCTGCCCCACTGCAAGAAAAACATTTGTGAAACGAGTGAGTAGAGCGCGCAAATAAATTCAACTTGTTTCTCAAGTGTCAGACATAAAGAGTACATGTGCGGGGAATATGGCGATTTACGGCAAATAGTTTGTTTATTGCTTGTCATCCGATCTTCTGCTATTCCGCCAAACTTTTTAGAAGTCATTTATCTTAGGGGAGTACTTATGATAAAGGTTGCCAAGAGGTATACCTTATTTTTATACGATTTTTTTTTTGAAAAATTCAACCTAGTTATTCAAAAAAACTACCCAGTTTTTGGCAAACAATTTCCAAAATATTCCCCCAATTTGGTAAACAAAATTGTTGCTTGTGCAAGTTAATGGAATTTTTAAGCGCCGAATTGGGCAGGAAAAGAAAAACAAGAGAATAATAAAAGAAAGGAGGAGCATGTCGAGCAGTACTGGTATGTATCATTTTAATATTCCATGGAAATAATTGTGGCCACAAATGGAAATGGCCGCTGCAAACGCACAACAACTGAAATAAGAAAATCGCAGCAATTAAAAACAAAAGAAAATGCCAAATAATGAGTGTGCAATTGGTAAAAATGTCTGCGTGCAAAAATCAAAAATATGATTTTCCATAATTAATGCAACCAAAAGCAAAACAATTTTCTTTCGAGCAGAAGAAAGACGCAGACGAAGTAGTAGAAAAAGTGCGGCAGAGAGAAGAAATCAATTTCACTTTTCAATTAAATGCCGGGAAAAGCGGATGATGATGATGTTAATGATGGGGATGAGCCGTTTTTCGTTGCTGTTTGTTGGGTTCGGGGGGAATTTTTTAATATCTATGCAATAAAAGTTGCTGCGAAAATTGCACTTTGATGTGGCTGACGAGGCGGGGCGGGGGGCGTGGCAGTAATGGCTGTAAAAGAGCCGGTAGCAATTACATCCCATCTCCCTCGCTCCCCAACTCCCCTTCTCGCTCTGGCGCCTCTCCAGCTGCATAATCATAAATTTTACTTGCGATAATTTCAGCCGGCAGACAGAAAAAGAAGCAAATGTGCCGAGTTCTGCTGAATAAATAAAAGATATCGTTTGCTGGCTATGAATAAAAGCAAACTAGGGATGGCCCAAGAGTTCGAAACTTATAAATTAACAAATAATAATTAAAATTAAAGGACTTTATTCTATTTGAGTTACTTTATTTAACCTTTTTCTACGATCAAAGGCAATATTTCGGTATTTATGATGTGGGTATTTCCTCCCTTGATATTTGTACATCCGCAAAAGAATATGAATAAAAGCAACCAAAGAGGTTGAAACCCATTAATTAATAAATAATAATTAAAACTAAAGGATTTTATTCTATTTGAGTTACATTATTTGACCTTTTTCTCCGATCAAATGCAATATTTTCGTCTTTATTATGTTGACTTTTTCCCTCTCGATATTTGTACTTTGCCAAAAAAGAAAGAAAGAGAGAATGCTGCAGAAAAAATAAGAACATTTTAATGCTGGATATGAATGAATGCAAACTACATGTTTTACCACTTGCAAACACACTCACACACACTTTGGGGCTGGGGGAAAAAAATAAATTGTATTTTACTGGCCATGTTGGGGGAAAAATATAAAAAAATAAATCTCAATGTTTCGATTGCCAACAACTTTTGACTGCGTTAACAAACTTGTTTTTTCATGCTGCTTCTGATGGTACAGTGAAGCTCCCCGGTAACGGAAGTTCCCCCTCTTGTTTGGTGTCAATGATAGCGTGAATGATACTTTGTGTACACACTTCATTTGCACAAGTATCCATTGGATGGCCGCAGCGCAATGATCATTCGAGCTGAATGGCAGACACGGCGTATACGCAACGTCCTTTTGCCTGCCCAATAACTGTAACTGTAACTCTGGGCAAAGTGGGCCAATAATCATCGTCATTATGCCAATCAGCCACTCAGTTCAGGTGGTTTGAGCCACGTTGAGTGTTCGTAAAAATAATATATAATGCCCATGCAAAAGGGGCTTGCAATAAGCCTTACAATGTACCAGAGTTTCGATATGGAATTGGAAAGTAAAATATAAAAAAAATTTATAATATAAAATCCTTAAATGGCCAACAGCAGAGAGACTTTTTCTGTTAAGTCCATGGCTAAAGATTACAAATATCTGCCAACATTTATTTGGGCACTCAGGGTTTTAATAAACTCTCCACCAATCAGTCCCAAAGTTTTTAAATGAAAAAGTAACTTTTGGCCAGAGCCAAAAAAAGTGTGAAATAGCTGGCATAAATTGATAGAGACTAACAATTATTTTACAGAAAAATATGTATAAAAATGGCAAAATCATGGAAATGCAAAATAAAACGAATATCATTGTGGTAAAAATAAATCAGAACAAATGGGAATAAATTAGAAAATGATTTTATACGTTGCCCTAAAAAAGTAGATACACTTTAAAAAACTAAAAAAAAGGAAAGGGCAAAATAAATGATGGGAATAATATTAAAGTGTTTCGATTTTCCGCTTCAAACCCACTTTAAGTTCCCATTCTCTGAAATCTGAACACCCTCTGCTCCGTTTATTGCCACCCTCGTAAAATTGATAAACAATAAATGGGGGGGGGGGCAACACTTGTGCTTCCCAGGAATTACGTAATGTCCCCATAACCTTCCCCTCATAAAGTATTTTAATGGGGCACAAAACTCAGCAAGAGCCGCCCCAGAGTCAAAATCCGTTGGGGTCGTCTGGCATTTTATGCCCCTACCAAAAAAAAAAAAGATTTCACCACTGCTGCCCACAAAAATCGAGCGAAAAATTGCAAGCAAAGTGTAAAATTTATGATAAAAACGTGCGACGCTGATAAGAATGTCCTGGACAAGCGGAAGTAGCTGCAGGATCGGACCGGAAGTGGGTAAAGTGGGGGGGGGGGGGCAGTGTGGCAACCCTAGGCAAATGAACGGAACCCAAAGCCAGACAAACGAGGCGTGGCACCTTGTTGCTCGTTAGGGTAATAGTTTGCAAATTCCTCTCTTGCTTTTCCGCTTTTCCCCCCCAGTTAGATTTACGCCTATGATACGCTTAAAGTGCTACAAAAATGTATCGTATTTTCAGAATTTAAGGTAGCTTCCTAGGAATATCTCTATTTTATACGGTTTCTACTAATTAATGCAGCCATAAACTATCAGTTGTGCAATAAATCCTTTGGAGGATGGCAAATGCCTCCAGTTTTTCCGGACAATTAACCTTTTTGCAGAAAGGAAGGACCAAGGATAAAAGTCAAGACAAGGAAATCGCGACTTGTGAGCGCCAGGTGGCGCCAATTGGTCTTATCCTTTGGTCAATGCAATCAGGCTCGATGAGAGCAGAAAAGAGAATGCCGCAGAAAGGCGGGGTAAAGGGCTCGAAAGGGCATGAAAAGCGGATGAAAAGTGGGTGGGATTGCGGAAAATGCTGTTGCTGTTGCAACCGTATACTGCTATGTGTTGATTCCATGGGCCTTAGGCCAGCTGTAGCATATTTTCCGTGAACTGGAGTGGTCAGAGGGCCAAAAGGCCCATGCCCTCTGCCCCCGGCCAGCTGCATTGCTGTTTTGATTAAAAGCATCCGGCCTTTGAGAACCGCCAACAGAATGAGTCGAAGGACTCCCCAGCCATTCTGCAGGTGTGTGTGTGTGTGTGTGTCTCTAATTTGATTTGCATTCCAACAAATTTCGATCTCACACCGTTTCTGGCCATCGGCTATTTGGCACAAAGTGCACCGAGCTAAACTCTTGGCCAGCGCTCAAATGATGTCCTGCGGAGCACGTGGCTGCACAGGGAAAAAGCAATATAAAAATATTTTAATGTTTACTGGGAAAAATAAATAAAACATTTCAGAGTTGACCATTTTTCACACTTTTTAGTCGATAAAAAACTTGATTTCAATGTTTTTTTGTACGAACTAATTCTTAAAAATTACCAAAAGCTTCAATCAATATTTCAAAGTTTACGATTTTTATTTATTTAATGATAAAAAACTTTTGTACAAGAGGTGTGTGTTTTTTTAAAGGGGAAGATAGATTCTATGAAATTGTTTTTATATAATTTTATAACACTTTTATGAACTATTCTTTATAAACTTGACAAGGTAATCCTTTTACAAAAACTTAGAAGTTAGATTAATAGTTCTGTGGACCATTTAGTTTTTAAACTGTAATCATCATAATTTCAGATCTTTAATATACTTTACATAATTATACCATTTTGAACATATTTTCTAGAATTTTTTGGGGTTTTGTAGAAGAAATTTGTCTAAATACACTAGCTAGTTAGATATTTTTGTAAGCACTTTTTTAGACCAACATTCCTAAGTATTTGTTTTCCAAAAACATACCATTAACTACTAAGTCTTTGCTTTCTGTGTAGTCAGCGAAATGCAGCTTTACACAATCGCCCGGATTTGGATTTGGTTGGCCCGGATACGGATGAGCTACCGAGCCGAGTTCACCTCAATCAGCGCGCATTTAACCTTTTGGCCAAGTGCCCGAATTGTGTCATCTTCGCCTTTGTCTGGGAACTATTTTTATGGTGTCAGTCGTTGCGTATACGCAACGTGGCATAATTTATGCATGAATGCGACTGCAGTTCGGTTCGGTTGGGGACATATGTGAGTTATGGCAGATGCTGGCCAAAAGTAGGACCAAAAGTAGGGCCAAAAGTAGGGCCAAAAGCAGGGCCAAAAGCAGGGCCCAGACCAGAACAGACCGGAACAGAAGAGAAGCATTCAAAATGTTTGACAGCCAAGGCGATGGAAATTCCCAAAACTAATCAGCACGAAAAAGCACGTGGCTCTCAGTCGCTTTCTCTTTCGATGAAAATGAAAGAGGGTTGGGTTCCTTTCTTTTTTCCTTTGTTTCACCCCGTCTCCAAAGAGGTACCATAGATAGTTAGAGGACTATATGGCCCACTTGGGTTCGTCTGCTCTGGAGCATCGGATAATAACACGCATTTTCAATGGATCTGGATCCTTGGTGTTGTAAACTTGTC